TTCCTTCCCTTGTCCTGTCTCCCTTTTTCTCTTCCTCTCTCTCTCTCTTCTTTCCCTGTTCTCCTTCCCTCCCTCTTTCCTCATCCTGCCAGAAAATCCTTCTCTTGGCAAACCAGGGAATGACTTAACGATGAAGGCAGCTTCGTGGTCAGGTATGACACACCATGGAGGGGCTCTCAAGTCCAAAGCACCCACTTCCTCCCACTTTGTTCCCTCCAGTAGTGAGCTGTTTTGTGGCTGATGGCTCCTAGCATATGGACAGGAGCACAGGCTGTAGCCAGACTGCCTGGGTTCAAATCCTGGCCCTGTCATCTACCAATTACATGCCCTTGAGCACACGTGTGTATCCCGTAATTTCTCTGTGCTTCTGTTCTCTCAGGTTTAAAATGAGGGTAGTGTTAGTACCTATTTCCAGGAGTTGTTATGAAAATTAAGTGGATTAATTCATATAAAATGCTTAGAACTAAACTTGACACATAATCATTGCTCAGTACAAAGTTCGTCCAGTTTTTCTTGATTATCTTAACACAATTCAATGCAAAGGGAAACTATATATGATTTACCATATTATGAAAAACAAGGCATCAATTTCAGTATTTATTTAGAGTGTTAAGGTCGCTTGATTAATTCAAGTCAAAGTTTCATGCCGGGGGGGAGAAAAATTTCATGGTTAAAAAAAAGAAATCGTCTATGGGCGTACCACCCTGAACGCGCCTGATCTCATCTGATCTCAGAAGCTAAGCAGAGTTGGGCCTGGTTAGTACTTGGATGGGAGAAAAAAGAGAAATCACATCTGAAAAAATGGGAGTGGGGTTTTAGGAAAACATTGGTACTTTACTTTTGCCCTTTTTTGATGCATGTGTCGGACTGTGTATTCTATATAAAATACATGTAGATTTTAAAGGCTAACACATAGCAAAACAAAAAATAAGACTATCTGTGTGCCTGCCACACAGTTTCTTAGATCATTCCTAATATCTTTATAGCCTCCTGGGAGCCACCCAAGGAGCCCTCTCTTATGTAGAGATATCCATGTCATTAATTTTGTGTTAATCATCTTTTTGCTTTTTCTCATGCTTTTAACATATATGGATGTCATGATATACATCATATTGTTTATATTCACCTATTTCTAATAGGTGAATTTTTATTATAATTTTTTTTCTTTTGCATCTTTTGGCTGGGGCTGGGTTTGAACCCGCTGCCTCCAGCATATGGGGCCAGTGCCCTATTCCTTTGAGCCACAGGCACCGCCCAATTTTTTATAATTTTTAATTCACCAATTTGACATTGACTGGCCAACACTTTTTTCTCCCTGCTTTCTTTTGTAGTAAGTCTCTTTTCTTTACTTTGGTTCCATTTTCCTACTTTAGAACATTATAGACACGCATTTAACAAAGTATACCCAGTGTTTTCTCTGCTTCCCATGAACACAAAGACCTTGGAACACTCCCACTGAGATTTCTTTGTAATTATGGAATTTTATATAGAAAGTTTTATAGGTATAACTTTTGATATCTATCTTGTTTCATTCTTTCTTGACAAGGAAAGCAAAGAGAACAAAAGTGTTACAGTTATGGGAAATACAGGCTATTGGAGTAGGGTGGAACTTTAAATATTATATAAACTAGTGTTTCTTAAACTTTTTTGACTGAACCTAACAGTAATAAATACAGTAGAACCTCCATAGTTGACCACCTCCCTACCTTGACCATTTAATTTTCATAGACTGGACATGTACTAGTATGTAAGCCTAGTTCCTCACGTTGAGCACCTCCATATGTCAACTAGTTTGTTACAGTCTCTTGGGTGGTCAACTTACAAAGCTTCTACTATAGACTTTACTCCATAACCAATAAACATATAAAAATAGTTTATAAAACTAAAACAATACTTTCATGAAACAATACTCCACTTGATCTATCTAATACACTCTGAGCTATTGCATTCAGGTTTATTTTATTTTAAGTAAATTTATTTGGAGTTAATATGAGGATACAAGCAAAATGATTTTGTCAGGTAGAATTCGTCTTGTGATTATGTCCAACACACAAAAGGTGTTCCAACCCCCCCACCCCATGGCCATTCAGGGAGAGCACCTCAACCCCTTCCCCCTCCAACGTTACTTCTCCAACCTGAATTGAAATTAGTTTTTTCCCTATTTGGGCAGCATCGGGTTGTCTATTGGCTTCATGTTAGTGATAAGTATATTGAATATTTGCTTTTCCGTTCTTGTGATACTTTGTTAAGAAGAATGTGTTTCAACTCCATTTAGGATATTACAAAAGATGTAAAGTCACCATCTTTTTAATGACTTAGTAGTACTCTATGGTGTGCACGTACCACAGTTTATCAATCCATTCCTGAGTTGATAGGCATGGAGGTTGTTTCCACATCCTGGTGATTGTAAATTGAGCTGCAATAAACAATCTAGTGCAAATGTCCTTAGTGTAAAATGATTTTTTTTTCTTCTGGGTAGATGCCTAGTAGTGGGATTGTGGGATCAAATGAGAGATCTAGTTTGAGTTCTTTGAGGATTCTCCATACTTCTTTCCAAAGAGGCTGTATGAATTTTTAATCCCACCAACAGTATAAAAATTTTCTCCTGTCTCCACATCCATGCCAGAATCTGCACCTTTGGGACCTGGTAAAAATGTTCTCTCTCCACATCCATGTCAGTCAGAATCTGCAGCTTTGGGCTAATCTTACTGAAGTTAGGTTATCTCAGGGTGGTTTTGATTTGAATTTCTCTGGTGATTAGGGACGATGAGCATTTTTCCATTTAAAATAAAAAAAATAGTCTGAGCCAATTTAATTGATTGCACATCTACTAGGAGATTCTGACCCACAGTTTGAAAAACCCACACCTACCCTAAATTCCTCAGTTTACAGCCCAGAGTCAGGACATAGGTATCCCAGAGGTGTTCGGTAAGTGAAGAGTTAGGGACCAAATCTCTGCTCTCTTATATCTAAGTCCAGTTCTTTATTCACATATATCAGCCAGAACAAAAATAATATAAGATGAAGAAAACAGGGAGCCACTGGTGAACTGCAGTTACAGATGGAAGATTAAGCCCTCCTGCCACCTTCTAGCCTCTAATTTGAGGAGAAACAAATCATATTTCTCATGATAACCATTGCTCAGTGAGCCCAGCACAGCACTGGGCACCACCTTCCATCACCTCTGGCCTCACAGACACCCCACACAGTTGGTTTATTATCTTGATGTTATGAAGCAGGGGGTGGTGGCTCAGAGAAGTTAGTAGTTTGCCTAATTCGGGCAGCTTCCAAGATGAAGACCTGGGCATGCCTGTCTCACCCCAGAGCTCCTGGCACTTCCCTGCTTATACCGTGTCTCTGTAAGGACTTGGCTTGCTTAGCATTACATCTCGCAGAAGGAAGATGAAGCAAAGAGAGAAATACTGCCTGGGACTGATTCTAACAAGTGGGAGTAACGAGTTGGTGATATGGTTTACAGATGGACTTGTTTATTCCGTCTCTTCTGCTAGCATTGTAGCTCCCTGAGTTCACGGTCCTCACCTTGTCTGGTACAGCTCCTAGCACATTATAAGCTTGAAATGAATGTTTACGGAATGGATAAGCACGTGCATTGAGAAATAAAGATACTGGGAGAGAGCAGCCACATCACACTACAGTGGTGGGTCGCGTAGTGGCCAAGAGCACAGCCTCTGGAGAAAGGCTGCTCGCATTCAAAGTCAGGCATCTCCTAGAAGCTAGTTGGTCACAGGCAAGTTACTTAGCTTCTCTCGTACCTCGGTTTCCTGGGAATAATAATAATGCCAACCTCATAGTGTGGTCCTGTAAGTTAATCAATGAAAAGGACCATAGTGTGGTCCTCTAAGCCTGCACACATGTCCAGGGGCAGAGACTCACGCCTAAAATTCACTCTGGGAGTCTGAGGCCGGTGGAGTGCTTGAGCTCAGGAGTTGGAGACCAGCAAGAATGAGACCCCATCTCTATTAAAATTGAAAAACCAGCCAGGCTTGGTGGGTGACTGTAGTCCCCCCAGCTACTCTGGAGGGTGAGGCAAGAGGACGGCTTGAGCCCAAGAGACTGAAGTTGCTATGGTGAGCTATGATGACACCATGACACTCTCTACCCAGGGTGACAGAGTGAGAATAGGTCTAAAAAAAGAAAGAAAAAGGTAATCAAAGCAGTCATTTACATCACTGCTTGGCTAAGATAAGCACTGTATAAAAGTTCTGTTACTGTTACCTGGAGTTATGACAACTAAGTGAAAGGATACTGAGCCTATGTCTCAGTTTTAGGAGAAAAATACCCTGAAGTCTAGAGGTGAGATAAATGTTTTCTGGTGGCTACAGACGCCAAAGAAACTACCATTCATGTTCAGTTGCAGAGTCTAAAAAGTACATTTCCAACTAAGTCATTGGGAAAGATTTATTTCTGACCAAAATTTCTAAATCCAGGGCAGATGATTAAGCAGATGGCCTGTGGATATGTCAGAAAGCATATAGTGCTTACTCAGCATAGATTTATAAAACGTTTGCGTGCGTGACTGGGTTACACTGCTAGGGCAGAATGCTGAATGCACAGTGCGTCTGATTTTCAAGAAAGCATTTAGAAAGTCTGGTTTAGAGGACAGCAGAACATAGAGTTCGACGTGAGCTCTGCCATCTCCCCCTGGACGTGGGCCTCAGTTTTCTCATCTGTCAAATGTGGATAATCAGTGCAGCAGGTGTGGTTCAGAGAGCTGACAGATCGCGTATCTGCAGGGATGGAGGTGATGGGAGCTCCTCATCGTCCCTGGTCTGGGTAAGCAGATGAGGAAGTGAAGTAGACTGTGGGCGACAGTCAAGGAGGTTCCAAGCCAGGGTCTCAGACGCCCAGGTGAAGGGTGTCATTTGCTTTGCCGTTGAAACAAACGTGGAGAGCCCCACGACAGTGCTGCAGGCTGGGCGGGAGGACCCTGAGCCGCAGCCCGAGGCCTGAGCCCTGTTGCCTGCTCTTCTCTCCTCCAGGGGCCTTCGTGGTGTGCTGGACCCCCGGCCTGGTGGTGCTGCTGCTGGACGGCCTCAACTGCACGCAGTGCGGCGTGCAGCACGTGAAGCGCTGGTTCCTGCTGCTGGCGCTGCTCAACTCCGTCATGAACCCCATCATCTACTCCTACAAGGACGAGGACATGTACAGCACCATGAAGAAAATGGTCTGCTGCTTCTCGCAGGAGAAGAACCTGGAGAGGCGCCCGTCCCGCGTGCCCTCCACGGTGCTGAGCAGGAGCGACACGGGCAGCCAGTACACGGAAGATAGTATTAGCCAGGGCCCCGTCTGCACTAAGAGCAGCTCCTGAGCTGGGGACGCCTCTCCTCTGGGGAGCTGTAGTAGAGAATGGATGGCTACCTGTCTCCCGTGAAGCCCAGGCACAGTGTTATTTGAGGTCTGAATTAATCACTGCTAGGGTTGGTTCTTTTCCCCCATAGTTTAAAAGCATCGGCAGTAAAGAGATGACATGATGCATTTAGAAAGAGGGGACAGCGTAGGGGGGTCCCTCTTGCTGTGCAGTGAACCGTGCACAGCCCCTCCAGCCCAGGCACCTTTGGGGCTGGCCCCCATCCCAGAGCCATTCTCTGTGTTTCAAAAGGATATTGTTAAAGGGCTTAGGCCAAGATAAATAATTAATAATGTTACTTGAGCCACCTTAAGTAGCTGCTTGGAAACCCTATATAGTTTTCTCTGCATGCATTTGAAATTTCTAGAAATGCTTCCCTAATGATAGTTTTATCCTCCAAGAAACAATGGCCAGTAGCTAGGTGTTCAATAGGAATCTAAGAATAAATCAGTGAGGGCTCCAGATTGAACTTAACTTCGGAAAAAAAAAAACATTCTGAGGAAAGCCACTTAAAAATAATAACAAAAAAATGGTAAACATTCAAAACCTCATTTGAAGTGAAAGGCCTCGATGTGGTCCTCTAAGCCTGCACACGTGTGTACACGCATGTGTGTACTTGTACAGTTTAACTTTGTATTCGGAGACTCTAAGGACAGTCGTGGTAAAATCAAGTCGCTGGCCATCTCGACACCCCAGACTGGGACTATTGCTGTAGAAGTGACCTGTTGTGCTCTAAAAGAATAGAGAAAGAGGCATTGAAAATAGATATTTTTATACAGCAGAGCAGGAGGCGTGTCCATAGCAGGCCGATGCCTTCATTAGCACCAAAGATGAAGCTGGACTCCTGCTCGTATTTTCAGTTACCTCCATACCACTGATGAGTTGTCAAATTTACTGTGTGAGACCATCTCACATTCATTTTGCCCTAGCTTATCCATATCCTGCTGGACCTTGCTTTACTTGTGAACTGAATTTGGATCTGGCTTCTATTTTGAATTTATCTCCTTCAGAGACCTAAGTTGGCAGCATGGAAAGCAAGTCAGCAGAAAAGAAAAATAATGTTTCATACACATAGGTTACTGACCAGAGTTTTCTATGTAAAGCACTTAGAATATATTCTGATTTAAGATAAGAATAACTGCAAGGCAGATATTATAGTATTTATGTAGTTTGCAAAAAAGGTTTACATTTTTTTTGCTATTGTGATGTAACGTTTATGTGCAAGAACTACTTGTAATAAAAGGATTTGAGAAGTCATGCTTTTAGATATCATAGCCTAAAATAGATAGTATTATGATTTGAAAGTGCAGATTTCACAAACTCTGTGTAGTAAGTGGGTCTCTCTGAAGCTTATATCGAAGCTCCCTACAAAATAAAATTTTAAAAGATCTGTTCCCTTGTGGAGGTGCATTATTGCTTTGTGCATTTTCTAAGTAAAAATATAGTTTGCAGTAACTACAGCACACATTTCTATAGCAGAAGAGAAATCAAATTTGCCATGAAGTACACACTCTCGATGTTTTATGTAAGCATTTTAGATCTACAGCTGGCCGAAGGGTGGAGAATTGAAATTGAATTCCAGTCCCCAAATAGCTACTAAGGGATCTCTAAAGGTTTTATTTTGAGGAAAGAAACATTTTCAGTACCCTGTAGCAGAGTGCCATATTCAGAACGGTGTCTGGAGGGGGTCCAAAGTGTGGGGACGCAGGGAGGAATATATAGCTTTTGTTTTTAACACACACACATTCCTAGGTGAGGGTGCAAGCACAGAGAAGTCATGTTCTTTTAGAAATGACAGGTGTCAGGAGTTATGGACCTCACTTGACAAACCCAGCCTGAATTGGGGGAGAAAAAAAACCAAACTAAATAATTTTCCTCCTCAAATCCTAGGATCCCCAAGATCATCCTGAGACCTTGAATCAAAGGATGAGCTGCTCTAAGAGATTTCATTTTCTTCTTAGATTTATAGCACTGTCCAAAGTGTTCTGATAAATGTGTGTTGGTGAGAGACTTTAGTCCATGAAGACACCTCACTTGCAAAGAAAGAATCTTTGGAAATGAATTGTTAAAATTTGAGGGCGTCGCCTGTGGCTCAAGGAGTAGGGCACTGGCCCCATATGCTGGAGGTGGTGGGTTCAAACCTAGCCCCAGCCAAAAACCACCAAAAAATAAATAAATAAAATTTACTGGTGAATTTTTTTCAAAGTGAATAGTAGACTTGGACCCAGTTTATGGAGCTTTAGAAGCCCTAAGCATGGAAATTGTCAAAGCACCCTGCCCTGATTTGTGTAATTCCAAAGAAAAATAATCTCTCTCTCTCTCTCTCTCTATATATATATATATATGCACTAAACCATAAAATAAATGTAACCCTCCAATAGAGTTCCAACTTTTCCAGATAATCAGCACTTAGATACCTTTTGTAAATACCAAAGAAATCAAAATTCAGAAATGTTGGTGCCCTGGCTCCATGGAGTACATGCTCAGCCCGTGGTTAAATGGTCCAGGACGCAGGACCAGCAGAGTCAGGAGCTAGACAATCAGGCAGGTGCAGGGGTGTGGCTCTCTTCATCTGTGGGTGTCACCCCATGGAGACAGACCACAGTTTGAAAGCGTCTTGTGCTGTTAGCTCATTAATCCTCTAATCATTCTGGGAGGGGGATGATAAGATTCCTTGGCGCTCTTTTTAAATTAGGTATAATGAAGATAAACCCTGGAAAGAAATCCATGAAGGTAACTTAGAGACGAACCCAAGCCCAGAGAAAAAATGACCTACACGATGCCTTTCCCTGGGCACTAAGAAGAATTAAAAGCACACAAAAACAGATCTGACTCCTAGGAGGCTTAACAGAGAATTATATCCCCTTGTGGACCACTCAACGTGATATTAAGTGAAACCCCTAAGGTCCTTCCACTTTTACACCTGGTCTTTCAGGTATAGAAGTTGGGGATGGAGTCAGGTAGAGCAGTGATTTTCAACCTATATGTGTGCCGTGAAAAATTTTTAAGAATATTAATGGGCAGCACCTGTGGCTCAAAGGAGTGGGGCACTGGCCCCATGTGCTGGAGGTGGCAGGTTCAAACCCAGCCCCAGCCAGAAACTGAAAAAAAAAAAAAAAGAATATTAATTAAATTATTTTCAAAAGAAGTTCAAAGTACAGTAAGTATATTCTTTCTTTTTATTTTGCTTTTGGATCAACATAGTTTAAGTGTGCTATGGAAGTTTAACTATAGGTTCAAGTGTGTCATGAGATTAAAAAAAGGTCAAAAACACTGATGTAGAGATCTGAAAAAATTTAAAGTAGGGGAAGCTGCATTTGGCAAGCAAGATGCTCTCCTAAATAGATCCCATCATTCAAGATGCTTGTAATTTAAGACTACTTTGCACAGAAAACTAAATCTTAGATGGCAGATGCTGTTGCTGTGGTTTTGATCAGCCCTAATGCTGTATTTTATCTGTTTAGATCATGTTCTCAGCTAAATTAACAGATGGTAAGTTGTCAAGGGCAGTTATTAAGGGTTCAGGGTATTTTATCATCTATAACTTCTGATTTGAAGGTTTCTAGTGCAAACAATCACAACAGTCACTGAAATCCTTCGTGGAGGTTCACATTAGTGAAAATGTGGATCATGTCATCCTGTGTGACCCAGCACCTCCCTGTGACCATCCGTGAACACAGTTTGCAGTTCACTGGGCCAGCCGGTTTCAGAATTTGCAGTTCTTGGCAACTTTTTAGAGAGTTGCAATTTTATGCAGGAAAACTTCATAATATTTCTCTATATCAGCAACTTTAGCTTTGAACAATTCAAACTTTCATAAAATGAACCTGTACTGTATCTGTTATTGAAAGCCTGCACATTGTACATCAAATAAGGTATATTGGAGAAAAAAAGGGAGAGGCTGCCTGTCACAAGCCCAGATTAGAAAATGGTATCTCTTTCTCAAGACATGGCAGCTATTGGAAGTCTGTACTGCTACCTGCTAGTAAACTGGGCTGGTACGTGTGCCTGTCCACAGGATGACTGGCACAAGTTGAGTTGGGCGGTTCACTCTTCACACAAATGTGTCTGAGGACTATGTTAAAGAAAGCTCTGGATTGACCCTCAAAATACCTGGCTTCTGTTCTGCCCTAAACTGTCTATGAAACTCTAAATATAATTGCTGATCTCTTAACTGATTTAATCTTTAAATTAAATGATCTGTAAGAATCTTTCCAGCTCCAAATTCTGATCCTATGCATCATCTCCTACATGGGAATCCTGGAAAAAGCCCCGCGTCTTTGGATTCTTTCCATTTCACTCCTTGGATAGGGATTTCAGAGAAAAGAAGCTCTGTTCTCATTTATCACAATGGTTCTTAAGCTTTAATGGGCATAAGAACCAACTAAGGAGGCAGCCTAACATCTGTGAGTTTCAGGTTGCTGTGAAACGTGTCATCATAAATCAATCATCAACACAGGAGAGGAAGGGTTTCTGGTATAAAATGGAACTGATAACACGTATGGAGAACCTAAGAGATTTGTTGATCTTTTTGTATTTGCTAAGAGTGAACTTCTATTTGAAATGTGTAAGATGCAATTTACTCCATCAAGGCAAATAGAAAATTACATCTTTATTTTCCATTAAAATGTTCCACTAAAATGTTCACATCTTTTGAACATTTCCTTGGTGCTTCACCACCAAAAAAAAAAAAAAACAAACAAGCAAACAAAAAAAAAACCCTGCCCTTATAAGAATGAACAAAATCACAAATCAAACCTATACACTAACACACAAATAAGAGAACTAAAACAAAAAGGAGCTGAAAATATTAAGGATGGACTTGTACATACCACGTTAGCCACCCTCAAAGTATTACATAGGATACTGGTGACATTGGTGTTGTATTTTATCAATCTGGCCTCTATGGTATGATTCTTGACATAGAACTCTCCAAGACCAGGTAAGAAAAGGAAATCATATAAACAGGCTACGTTTGGGGTTTAAGACATTGTACATTTTATGCATTGGGGATCTGATACTGATAATCTAAACTAGACATCTTTGTTTGTTTTGTTTTGCCAAGGTGAATGCCTGACC